AAATATATATATATATATATATCTTATGTTATAAAAACTAATTTCCAGGAAATGTAAATATTCGAAACAAAAAAAAACATGAACTGAATTGAGACAATTCAGAAACATTTTAAATTACTTTTCCAAAAACAACTTCTTATTATAAGATTAAACGATTTAAATGGTAATAAAAAGTGAAGGAGATTATACGTACACAACAAAGTTTCTTTTTCAAGCTTTTGTTGAACTTTTTCATGAAACATTCACTGAAGCGTAGTTTTCTTTTTATTAAAAAATAATAATAAATGAATTTAAAAAAATAAAATTTTTCGTGATTATAAAATATTTTTCCAAATAAAAGCATTGGACAAATGCTTTAACTTTGCGCATGTTAGTGTAAACATTTTAAAATTACTCTCAAAATTTTGAATAATAAACTTATTATTTAAGATTAAGATTACTTATTATTTAGTGTCATTATGCTAATATTTTTTGACAGCATTTTAATAAAATATTTTCCTGGTTGCAGCTTAGAAAAAATTTACAACACCCCACTGATATGTCTATTAAATAATTTGCATTTTATAAATATTCAAAAGGATTTAAATTGTATTTATAATGGCATTTCAAATATTTGTTTACGTAGTCATTTTATATTTTAAAAATATAAATTTATTTTTTAATGTAGAAACTTTATACTAGTCAAAATAAAAAAAATGATATCTCATTTAACATAATGAATTTTTCATGAACATTGATATGCATTTTAAAATGTGCACAGATTATTTTATCATGTAATACTGTTAGAGATTTATTTTTTACTTTAAGCCAGCAAGTTTTATCTTTATTAAAATTTGAATTAAAAAAATTGTATTAGTGATTAATGTCTCTTTTTATGAAATGAAGACTAAATACTTTTTTTCTTTATGGTACATCATCTTTATTTAAATAGTTTTTACTATTAGCAGAATTTCATGATTATTATCATTTTACTCTAGCAAATTGTAAGCACTTAATTACATATATTTATAATTTTTCATAATTCAAAAATAATTGTGACTTAATTATATCCTTCTGAAACAATTAAAGTCGTAAGCAATAGCAAATAACATTTTATTTTCACGCGTATTAGTGCATCTAGTCTTTAATAGAATTTTTAAGTTTATTTCTAAGTTTATTCTCTTTATTAATATCCTCTTAATTTCTAAGTTTATCCTCTCTATTTTAAGTTTATTTCTAAGTTTATTCTCTTAATTAATATCCTCTTAATTTCTAAGTTTATTCTCCAAGTTTATTAAGTTGAGTTTATGCTCTTACTTTGCTTTGTTAATAGTCCAACCACCACTGCCATATCAAACTATTTGTCTCAAATTCTTTATCTAATTACTCAGATTATTTTTTTAATAATAATTACTTTATCATCATTTGTATGCTTGGCATTTCTTATTATGAATTAAATTAATAGATAATTACCTTAAAACAGAAAATATCACCTGCGTGTTTTTTTATTAATTTTAGGCTAATGTATCATACCAATAAAATATTTTATAATTTATTTTTAACAATAACTTATTCCAGGATATTACCTGATTGAACACTTCACAAAATATACATGACTAAAATGACAGTTTCAAGTGCATCAAAAATATGGGCCCATTTTCTAGACTTGACACATGTGAAGGTAATGAAACAAAAATGATTTTAAAAAAGACGTGAAGTTTACGTTTATGTATGTATCTTACTTAAATAACAATTATAATCTTATATAAATTAATTGTATTCAAAATTAAATTGCTTTGAACTAAAAATGATGCACATTTATCTTAGAACAAGGTAATTATATAATATTAACATATAATGCATCTTTTTACAATTATGACAATGATTTACTGATTTGCAATTGTATTAATGGTAAATTTTAATATAGGTAATATTAAATTTCTGATATTGTATTTTATCTCTAAATGTGCACTATCAATATCATGTAATTAAAATATAAATTTAAAATGATTATTTAAAATTACAAAGAAATACTAATATTTACATTTTGCTGTATTGCTAAATAGTGTCTTTGGCAAATAATATTTAATAATTTTTTTCTACCATGGAAAATTAAATAAGTGAATAAAGTTTCAGTGATAATTAAGCAAAATTATTAGATTTAAACTTTTTCTCAGAAAAGTCAGCAACTGATAGCTGATAAAATAGATTTTATAACTTAACTTATAGCTGATAAAATAAATAAACTTATAAAATATAGCTGAAAAACACGTTAAAGATAACTTATAGCTGATAAAATAAATTTCTGTCGAAATAATAAGACTTTCTGGGTTCTTTTTATTAAATGATTTTATAAAGATATTAACACTTACCAATAATAAAAAGTAGTTGGCACACAACACATTTCGGGAAGTCTAAAAGCATGTTTCCCGGCAAGAGTCTGAATAAAGTACTTGTCAAATAATCCATTGTGAAAGTATGTGGCTTTCAAAGAAACAGCTTAAATCCCATGAAGGTGGCAGAGAACAGCCTACATTATTCATTAAACAATGCACAGAAAATGAAAGTTTGCAGAAAAGAATAAAATAACCTTTTTCTTTCCTTTAAGACCAAAAAAAAAGCTCCTTTCACTTTTTTGTCTACCTCTTTTTATTAAACTCCAAGATACGGGTCAATCGATGCTACCTAAAAAGATTCTACTACCAAAAATGATAGTAATCATGTTTTTAGGTTCGATATAAAAAGTAGGCGTTTTTTACTTGTTTTGAAGATTGCATTTTCTTGCCATCTTTTTTCTGACATACAGAGTATGTTATTGTTGCATATTGCCAGTATTTGTCTCTTTTATGATTATATTTTCTTTTATTTATTTCTGGTTTAACGAAATTCGCTTGGAACGCAATTAAGTGCGTGCATTTTTTGTAGATTTGTCACTGCAAATGCTGTCTTTTGGCGATGGATACGATGGAATTATTTTATTTTTTTCTTATCTTCAAAGAAAAATGAACTTGCATCCATAATATGGATTTTTTTAGACTTTCTTTATACTTTTTCTTGCAAGTCTTCAATCTCTTTTAAAGCTTTTGACTAAGAAAAATGCACACTCAGTATTATTTAAATTTCTGAGTTCGACAAATTTTAAAAATGTTGAACACAAAAGTGAATCAGAGGAAAATTCAATAAACTATATTAAATTGCAACATATAGTTTTATGATTCACTTTGAATTTAGAACTGTAAAAAAGTTAAATAGTTTTACAGCGTCAATGAGTACAGTTGGAATATCTTTTACTTTAAATCTTTCATCAATAATAAGTTTATTTCCTAATAAAAAAACGAATCGTAAAGTAAAATTATTTATTGTAATTCAATTAGATAATTGCTCATTTTGTACTATTAAATGTTCAGCTATTGGAAAAGTGCATTAAAATGTATTTTGAATATAGCTAATTTAAAGCTAGTACTTAAGTATGTTTCTTCAAAATCCATGTCAGAATTACAATTCAAACAATTTCAGCAAATTATAAATAATTCAGTTCAATTGAAACACGCGGAATTGTTTGTGAACAACGTGCAACTCGCATTTTATCCGGACCACACGACGAGGATGTCTGTATCTCGCCAACGAAGGTTTGCCAACTGATGCAACTTCAGAATTAATACTTCGTTCAATACTAGGAGGGAATGTGGCGTCATGATTCTTTAAAGCGCATGCCCAAATACTTAAGTTTGAGGTAACGAGAAAAAGGTGGATGCAATATTTGGGACACAAGGATGCCGAAATGAGATTTTTTAAGAGTTTTCTCTCAAGACTATGGTCTTTCAAAATTGTATGTTTACCGTTTAAAAAGAGTCCCATGAGTTACGAACATATCATTCTATAGAACCTTCCAATCTGATCTGTGCTTACGTGATATACGTTTAAATTGTTTGTGGTGTTTTGTACGTGGTTTATATTTCTGATATTTGTGTTTTGATTAATAAAAATAAAAATGAAAGAAATAAAATAAAGTAATTTTTAAAAGCTACCCAAAAGACTTTTTAGAAAGTACACTTTGAAAAAACACTTACACTTTTGTTACAATTAAATAAATTATAAAATTATAATTTTACTAAATTATTACTTATTATTAAATCATTATTTTATTAATAATATAATAATAATATAATAATAATAATAATAATACATAATAGACTAATTATTATGTATAATAATTATTTTATTATTATTATGTAATTATATGTGTTATAATAATTATTATTATGTATAATTATTAATAATATATTAACATAATAATACTTAATTGACTAATTATGTATTATAATTATTTTATTATTATTACGTAATTATATGTGTTATAATAATTATTATTAATATAATAATAATATAATAATAATACATAAATAAAATAATATTATTTAGTTAATATTATTTTATTAATGACGTAAAGAACATGACAAGGATTGTATTAGCTTAAAATATTTTTAACTGATCTTAATAAAGAATATATTTAGTGATTAAAGCATCCAGATGTTTTATTATAATGAGTAGTACAGATAAATATTTTGTTGTATATATTTTGTTGTATATATTTTACTGCGAAATACTGAAATTGGTGGTTGTTGATTTCTCCGGTAAATGTTAACAATCACATAATCACTTTGGTAAATGTTCAAGAAATGTATACTAGATCTAGTTAAGTATCATTTCCCGGTATACACTTGTCCGGTATTCCCTATTCTGCAGTTTTAGGATTCAGTGCCACTGCCCTGTATGCCCTACATCAATGTTTTTTTAAGTAAGATACCACTGCCTGGCATTTATTTAACCGGTACTCGGAAGAGTGATGTTTATTCTAATCTATCCTCAGCAGATATTAAAGTATCGAATAAATATAATAATATCAACGAATAATATAATATCAAATCGAATATAATAAATATTCCTGTCATTCAGAAAAGCGACTATCTGATTCCTGACATTCACCGGTGAAAGACGACATTCTTTTGAGTTCGGTCATTAACTGTAACATATACACCTGATGTACAAAGAAGCACATTATATCCATGCAAAATCATCTCTCAAAGTAGTATTTGTCATTCACATAGTTATTATTGAGCTAATCAAAAATAGAATAAGAAGAGAAAGTTCTGGAATAAGAGTAAGACATATTTGTTTTCGAAGTAATTGGTATCACACTTACTTCAGACAGTTGAAATATGCAAAGAAGTGTCCTTTTAAAAAAATACTTTTTGAAGATTATTGTTCAATCATATTTAATAGGTTAAAAGGAAAAGGTGGATATCACTAGAAAAATTGCAGCTTTCAGATTTCTAAACTCTTCAAATAACAAAACATTTAAACATAATCGGATAAAACTGATACAACTCCAGTTAACGAAAATTTTCGAATGCAAGATGTAACGGAACATCTAAATTTAAAAAAAAAAAAAAATCGGAAAGCTTTTGTAATCAAGCTAAATTCATTAAAGTTAATTAAATTCCATCACAAGGAATTTTATGGATCCTATTAGTAAGTTTCCTATTTATTGAAGTATTTATTTATTATGCTAATTATGGTTTAAGCAGACAGATATCACCAAAATGGTATTTGAACTATAGTTAAAATACTTCTTATGTAATTTTATAATCTTTTATTGGAATTACTGTAACCGTTGTTTGAATGGAAGTTTTATTCGTTAAGTAAATAAAGTAAACAAAAGTCGTCACCAAACACCAACTACAAGCATTCTACTCGTAACCACTATTTGCGCAAATAATACATTAGTCGATTTAGTGCTAATGTAGTTTACCTAGTGAGGGGAATTTCTCCAAGAAATTCTGATCAATACGAATTATTTTACGTATTATCAGTGGTAATTTAACGTGGTTTAATAGCTATAGAGAGCAATAGTTATACCAAAGGGTTTTTTTAAATTGTTAAATTAAAGCATTAAATTTTTTTTCAAAAATAATGTTTTTTTGATAATTCCTCTAATATGATTTCTCTATAAAAGTAGTTTTTTATTGTTTGTAAAGACACCAAATCTAAATCAATTTATCGAAAAGGTCAAAACAAAATTGAACTGTTACTGTTATTGACAAAATTAAACATTACTGTTTAATGGAAATTTTCACTGTGAGACTTTTTTAAAGCATGCGTCAAAATTCAGATATAGTTGAAAAAGAAATAATTTTCGAGTGTGATATTAAATGCGTGTAAATATTGATATGTTTAATATGCTCAATATGTTTGGAGGGGCCGGGATAGCCTGGTCGGTAGGGTGCTGGGCCCATGCCCAAGAGGTCGTGGGTTCGATCCTCGCCGGCCGAAGACTCCCCGTGTAGTAAATGGTGACTGATGCACGTTAAATCTGTCGAGTCTCAAAGTCCTCCATGTTCCCACAACAAATCAATACCTCTGGGGGTACTGATCCAGGAGTTTCCTTGTCTTCTGGATTGGTTCAAAATTACAAGGCTACGGAGTTGAACGTAAGTAGTCGTAAACCCATGAAATTAGGTCGGCTGTTCAATGACGGTTATAAAATATGTTTGGCGAATTGTTAAATATGTTTGGAATGAGTCGTTACGGGTCAGGGGATACAGTGCTCTCCTCCCAATGAGGTAATCCAGGTTTCAAATTCCACTGATAGCTAGTTGTTACGAATTCCGCACCAGGCTGACACCAACAACAGTGCTGACGTTAAATATCTTCAGTGCTCGAAGTATCATGGGTTAGATTCCCCTTGCCATAAGGCTAACTGTGGAACGGTTTCGTGGTTTTTCTCACCATGTAACGCAAATGCAGGTTACTTTAAGCAAAAAGTCCCCTATGAAGGAAATTTTTTCCGAGTACTTTATCCAGGAGTTCCTCGTCTTTAAAATTAGAAAGCTGTGGAGTTGAACATTGGCAGTTGTAAACTGAAAATTGGGTTTGCTGTTCAACGACGGTCATAAAATATGGTTTTAATGTTTGTGACATGTATGGAATATTTTTGATGTGCTTGAGGTGTTTGTAATATTATGAAGCCTTTTTGGTATGTTTGGGAGTTTCCTGAAATGTCTTTGAAATATTAAAAAAAAACGTTTTATACTTGGTCAATTGTCATAAAAATACTCTTTGATAAGATAACGTTTAAGAAATATTTATGAAGTTATTTTAATCTTTCTGTAAAAATTTAACTCGTTTAAAAAGTATTTTCAAAGTTTTATTCTAAATGAGTAAAAATAAAGAATAAGCGTCATCAGTTTTTAATGGGGAAGCTGAATAAAATCTTTGAAATTATTCTTGCAAATACGATATGTTTGATGTTGTGATTTTTAATTTAAATTAAATATTCTATATGATACTCGTTCCGGTTAACTTTATGTGAGAGACAGAATGATAGCATATAAAAATACAGAGATGTTATCAAAGATGTGGTGGTAATAAAACATATGAGATTTACAGCAGTATATTTTATATCCTCTGTAGCATGACCAGAGAAAAATAATCTTAAATGAAAATAGAACAATAATAATATTATGCATGCCTGTATTAAACGGAGATTCAAAGGACAAAAACACCATCACGAGATAAAATAAACTATTGAGTAAACGAACATGTTACCTATATGGTGCAGAAAGTTTTAAATGCAAATAGGATCGTTAAATCATTAATGATACATTATTTAAGCAATTTTCAACAGTCGGAAATGGTAAAGATTAAATTCACAATGGAGATACAAAACACGTGACCACCAAAAAGTTTCCTTATAGTATGCATACATTCATACTCTCTGATTTAAATAGCCAAAGGTATTGTAAAGAGGTTAGATAAAAATGAGCTAGCAAACATGCCACCGAAATTTCTCTAAGAACCTCAAGACTCTTAAGACACTAACAAGAAAGAAATTCTTATTGCCTATCTATACTATGGTGTTGAGGAAGTAGGCAAAATAAACCATAATAGAGCTACCGACCACGTTAAATAGATGTTTCTGAAAACTACAAAAAAAAAATTAAGTTCTTTTTTTATAATTTAGTATGTATGATTAAAATAGTGTGTTAATAGGTGAAAACCATTGTAATCATATAAAATGATCACTGTAATAACCAAACACGTAATCGAAATTATACTATATACTTTAAATGTAAATAGAATCTTTATAGCGACTTGATTTGCCAGATATGGGATAAAATTATGAATATTGCTATCAAGCTTATTACCTAAATAGTTTTGA